TCAGTATCACTATTCACATTACTGGCGTACGCTATGGGCTACCAGCCACGCCCAAGGTCCTGCATCAGGCAGGTGCCAAGCCCACCTTGCTAGCGTCCGTAACCAATCGAAAGGGAAGCGCAATTTTCAGGTAGATGAGTAACGGCTTCGCTGTTAACGCCGCATTGATCCTTTTGAATGCGACCTGTTGCTCCTCCGTCCATTCCCAGTCACGATCTTCTTCAGCAGGCGTGTCATCGGGGCCGCAATTGAACCAAATGCCTAGATGAACTTCCGACAGTAGCCTGCAAGATGCACAAACCGTTTGACCCCAATAGCGTCAGTTGGTTGCGGGAACTCCGTCACTGCCGTTATCAGTCGTTGCACAGGCCGCACGCCTTTGCTGCTCAGTTCATGTCCGCAGTATTCGATGGATTCAGTGGCGAACATGCATTTCTTTAGCCTCAGTGTGAGTCCCGCGGCCGAGAGTCGATCCAACACCACGGCTAGCTCAACCACATGCTGCTCCACGTTACCGCGCGTGAACACTACAATGTCGTCCAAGTACACCAAGCACGAGAGCCAGGTTAATCCGCGAAGCACGCCGTTCATCATGCGTTGGAATGTAGACGGGGCGTTTATCAGGCCAAAGGGCATTCCAGTAAACCGATATAGCCCTCGTTTGGTGGTGAACGCCGTTTGTCCTTGTCCTCCGGAGCCATGCCGATCTGCCAGCTATGCGACCTCAGGTCCAGCGTCGTAAACAGGCTTGCGCCGCCCAGCGTCTTCAGATTTTCGTCAATGCGTGGCAGCGGGTAGACATTTCTCTTAGTTACCTTGTTTGGTGCGCGATAGTCGATACAAAGCGCACTTCACCGTCCTTCTTCTTGATCTTGACTAACACAACCGGGAATCCCCACGCGCCGTTGCCTTCTTCGGTTACACCAGCTCCGAGCATCTTGTCCACGTTGTTGTCGACAATAGCGTCCTCTGATTAAGCCTGCCGACGTCTCTTTAGCATGCTCGGGGCTGCCTGACCCGTATCTATGTGATGCTGGACGTCCAGTGCGGTCACTGGCGGGCGGTCGCGGAGATCCACTGATACTTTACGATAGGCCCGTAGCAGCCGGATAATCAGACTGCGTGCGCCAGTCTCCTTACTGGTGATGCGTACCTCATCCTCGTTGTCTAGCGGCGTCTCATCATCGCCCAACTATTTTAACCATGCACCCAACTTCTTGTTGCCCAGTTCGCCACTCATCGTAAGTACTTGCATGTTCTCCTCCAATGGGATCCACGTACCGAGTTCGGCTTTGCTCGGCAGCTTCACTTTACCACCGTGCACTTTGATCGCGGGAATTGTCGCTTTCCCGTTTCTACTGCGGGCCACTGTCGTTGCCAGCATCACGGTACCGTAGCTCGTCGTCGGAACAAAGATGCCTTCTCCATTGTCGGGTGCCGTCACCGACCCTTCAATGGGCGTCAATGTCTACCGCGTCAGTGGCGTACGCCGTACCAGTCGTACAGCAGCGACCTTGGCGCCCCCGTCGCCTTCGTCTGTCCTGAACGGTATGACTACTCGTTCCTTCTTGTCTTCGTAACGCATCTCATTGCGCTCAAAGTCCATGACGGCCTTGTACTGCTGCATGAAGTCAACGCCGACTAGAAACTCGTCCTTGCATCCGACGATAATACACGCGAACGCTGTCACATTTTGTCCGAACGTATTTCTCATGTTGAAGGTCCATACGCCAAGGACGCCCAGCAAAAATCCGCCGATACCTTCCACGACATCTATTGATGACGCTTGTTTCGACTGTTCTCCTCGTAATATCCAGTCTGTTCCGGCCACCGAATAACGAGCGCCCGAGGCCAACTTGACGGGTAGCCGTTCACCTTCCACGTCCATGGTCGCCGCTGGCAGACCGTCTTCTGCCGATACACCCAGATCGTCACTAGCTCCCGTCGCATCCGTATCAGTTACACTACGTTGGGGCTGCACTAGCCGTAGCTTGGAACGTTCACCTGGTCGTCTTGGCGTTTGCGTAGTCGCTATCGTCGTGTCAATTCAGTGCGGGCTTCGCGGCATGTTGCCTTCGTCGCGACCGTCTTTTTGCATCTAATGAGGCCAATGCCTCGTCGATCTTATCACTCGTCGCTGCCGCCGCAATCGCTCGTCGCTTTACTGCCTGGATCCGCACCTGCTTCGTCCGCCGCCGCCTTGCCTTCGCCACGTTTCGCACTTTGGCGCCATCAGCTGCTGTCGGACTGGTCCCGCCGAATTCCTTGTCATCTAAATCGCACTCATGCACCCTCACCGCCGCACTGCACACCGTCGCCGTCTTGCACAGTTCAGTCGTCACCGCCAGCGACTTATCCGCCTGATTTCCGCCATTACCAGTTTCCACGTCGGACATTCTCGTCGCCCGTGTGTCGCCTTTCCAAGTTATTCGTACTCCGCCGAGAACTTTGAGGCTTCCGCCTTCCCCAGTCGACTACCTTTCTTGCAATCTGCTCGTACGTAGCGCAGTGCGGCTGGTCGTACCGTCATCACGTAGCGACGTGCACGTTCCCCGTCTCGCCCCGCCAATTCTCCATCCAGAAAGGCATCTGCTGCTGCTCCTTCTCCACTTGTGGTGGGGGATCGTTCACTACCCACAGACGTTGGCCAGCTGCATCTCGTCGTTACCGTCTCTACACCGGTTGGCGCCACGTTCTGATGAATAGGCTCATCTTCCGGACGCAGTGACCCCCTCACTACGCCCGTTCGTCGTTTCCCGTAGCCGAAGTTGATTGCACCGAGCGGGTAGCCAGGGACGCGTCGCTTCGTGCCTTGGCCTTAGGGTCTGGGCACTTCTTCGCAAAATGACCAGACTTGCCAGATGCATAGCACCTGTTGTCTGTTATCGGCCACCGGCTCGACCGTGCTTCTATTGTACGCATCTGGGGCTCGTCCTTTGCTGAATGAGTCGGTGCCTTAGTTTTTCAGATCGCCGCCCTCCGTTTCTTCGTCTTCGGCTGGGGTAGTTCTTCGTCCGCGTCCGAATCTTCGCTTGGATCAGCCATCGACTGCGCTATCCGCACATTTCCTCGCTTTTCGCTGCTTCTGCGCTTGCCGCCATGGTACGAGCCGCTTTGTCTCGCCTTCTGGTCCTTCTTAGTAGATTTCCAGAATCGTCCGTTCCGGGAACGACCGTCTGGGACGTCCCATAACCCCGTAAAATTGTTATAAACGCCTCGCGGGTTTGTGAAGTACGCCACTTCGTTGTTTGCCGCTCCTGTCTGCGTCGCCATCGCATCAACAGCCGATCCTACACCCGGAATGGCCACTACCCTTCCCGTCGTGCCGTCCATGGGTACGGTGTACGCGTTTGGTGCAGTCGCCCACGACTGACCGAAATTCACCATACCGCGGGCTACGTTGTCGATCGGGTCGTCTATTGCCGTGGCCTTGTCCACCGCCTGTTCCAGATCGATTCTTGTTTAACTAACATCCGGGTCGTCTTATCCAAATTTCTGTAGAACTGGCCGAGCAGCGTCTGTTCGCTGACGTGGTTCGGGCCCGTGACGTCTCGCAACCCAGCCGCAAAGTCGGCAAATGTCTCGCCTGTATACATCATCCTTTGATACACTCTCCATTCGACCATCACTGGGTCCGGTCGCTCAACGTATCTCTGCATCAGTGCTTCCTTCAGGCGTGTCCACATCTTCTCGCTCTCTGGTAGTTCTTGATCCATCTGGACCCACCAACTCGCCGCATTATCCTGCAACTTGTTGCCTACAATAAAGTACAGCTCTTCGTCCGTCCAATTCCCTCGTCCGGCGATACGAGCGCCTTGCACAGCTAGGTCGACTTTGGCGATCCACGTGGAGACCGCCACCGTGGGCGAGGGCTTGTACACCGCAAAGTCCAAGTTCTTTGCGTTGCCTGTGTCGTACTCTTCGTGGCAGGTTAACTGTGCTTGCCCGTCAGCCTTGTCTTCTCCTGCGTCGCCGTCCGCCGCCACCACCCCGAGAACTGTCGCTACTGCTGTCGTCGCCGTTGCTGTCACTATAACTGTTGTCGCTGCTACCATCGCCACTACTGTCTGGTGAAGGTGGTCGTCGCACTGCTCCTGATCCTGATCCTCGTCCGTCGTTGACTGCGACTCGAGCTCCAAGCGTTGCCATTGGTACTGCTGCCGGTGCTGGTTGCGCTTGTGGCTGCACTACAGGCGCTGGGGCTACTCGTTGGTCCTCCAGGCCCACCGCTTCTGGTTGTTGTGGTCTCGGTGCCACAGCAACTTGTGAGGCTGCCACCGGTGCGGTCCTCGTGGTCTCCATCGTTCCCACACGCGCTTCCAGTCTCGTCATTGTAGTCATCATGTGGTGGATGGCTGTTAGCAATGTCGATGCGTTCGCTGTCGCTCCATCTTTCTCGGTGCTCATCGTGTTTGCCGCGAGTCCTCCACTCGTTGCAGCTGTCAAGTTTACCTCGTCAAACCTTCCAGCTGCCTCTGACGTCGAGGCTGCAGATCTCGTCGGTACTGCCGTTCCTCTTCCGCTGCCCGTGGATACGTCTGTCGCTGGGTCCGAAGCAGGTTGTCGATCTGGTGCCACTGGCTGCTGTGCAGCCGTCGCCGTTGGTTGCTGTGCTGGTTGTCGTGCTGACGTCTCCTCGTTTACTACAGGATCCTGTGAGATCGTCGTTCCCATCGTCGTCGTGGCCTCCTGTGCCTGTCCCGATGGCTGCATCGAGTGAGTCATCACTCCCGTAGTTGCTGTCGGTACCATGATCGTTTCGTCCTTGCCATACGTTGGGTCGTAACCATACTCCCAATATAACCCGTACTTGTGTAACTTAATAGCCGATCTTCGCTCAATACAACGCCCCTGTACGACCCCCTTGTAACGTGTCTTTGCTCCCCTGCACGCCGGGGTTGGTCGCCCAGTGCTGATGGCGCCCAAGATCCGGATGGCCGACGATGAACAACTCTGCTCTCCGCGCCGGCGTGTGGTCCACTGATCACACACTTACTTTATTACTGTCCGTTTACAACCCAAATACAGATAACGTCCTCTATGAAATGTACTCGAACCCGCCGCAGTTCAGTAAGTATCCAGTGTCGCCCACTTAGTCATTTGGGCTCGGCACGCACTCAGACGCCGCCTTACTATGCAGTCGTCAGCAGACTGCGTTCCCCCTGTCTGTACTCCTCGCCGACTGTCCTTGGTCCTCGTCCACCGAGGCGTTACCCGTCCGTCCGTCTGTTTGTGCACTACCACTCGCTCCACTGAGCTCGAGCAGCACATCGTCCAATCTCAAAGATGCCGACACCACTAATCTCCGAGTGATGCCTACACCGCTAATCTTAAAGTTGAGACCGACACCGCTAATCTCAAAGATGCCGACACCACTAATATCCGAGTGATGCCTGCACTGCTAATCTTAAAGAATTGCCGTCTCTGGCCTTCTCACGACCGGGTGCTCGCCGTATCCTTCGAATTCGGATACGGGAGGCACGTACCTATCGTCCTTCAATACCGTCAGCAGCCAGATGCCACACTTCGTCAGTACCGTCCCGTTCCTGGCAGTTTCTGCGCTCTGCCTAGCCACCGTTTCGCCCTCCGCCCATCCTATCGTACTCGTCAAACGAGTCACCGTACTTGTCACGTCCGCTCCATCGTACACGTCCGCATCATCGTTCGCCGTGAACGAGCGGTCGTACTCGGTCGCGTCACTGAACTCGCCCAAATCACAATACGTAACCACCTTACCGTACTCGTCCGTATCATACTTGTTACAACACCGTAAAGTTGGCTCAACGCGAAAAAGCTTAACCGAAGGATGCCGTCAAACAAGCGATTAAGCTGGCGCGCCAATCTCGAAGCCGAAAGAAGCAGAAGTAAGGGCAGAGATAGCTCTTCACGACAAGCCCAAAGCAAGGACCCGGAAGCGCTCACAGCAGCCTAGTGAGCTTATTGTTTTTTATCTGCTTCTGGTAACGTCCGTGTTACTGAATGCGAACATGGATCAGCTATAACATTGGTGTTCTAACCATACAGACTCCTTATTGCTTTAGAGTGACCGACATTTTTTGTATGCGATGTGTGCAGACTTAATATCTGTACTGTTGTTTTAGCTGACCACATATTATTATCATACCTTTTCACCCACGTCATCAGCGAATATACGTCATCCGGTCCTAGCTTCATCACCAAACTCTGACACCACTTCTTCAAGTACTTTCCACTTAAGCTCGGCCAACTACCACTCTCACAATTATTTTACTTTTCATCGCGAGTATTCACTTGGCGGAAAAAGTTATGGATATCATGTGGCGTCGGGCTGCTTTCCAAAATTGTATTTGGTACACTTCTATAATTTTGTTTCCCCCCCCCCCGCCTTCCGTAGCCCATTTACCGCCTTCAACACCCTCATCGATGAAGATGCGCTTAGAGGCCGATCCCTTGACCGAAATAGCTTAATTTGGGATTTTGATGACGCCTAGCTGTCTTGTGCTGTTGCAAACATTTATCGGAATGTGCTACCTACGTGTATTTAATCCAACAAGCTACAACACTTCTTACCTCTTACGAGACTAAAATATGTATGTATGTGTTGTCAAAGCACTTTCGAAACCCCAATGAATGCGTTTACGAAATTAAAAGAAAGTGTGAGTCCGGAGCTCACCAAGGACTACTAATTACACGAATACGGCAAAGGTCAAATCAGGTGATGATTAATTCGGCTCGTGGGATATCAGGCATCCCAGTCGGTGCCGATTGGGTATAAACGCACCGTCTCGTTATCCCAATCGGTAAAAAAGAGTACCTATTTTTATTGTGCTGCATAACATAATTCACTGTTCGCACCAAGCCTGCAGCGATTCTGTTTGGTTGTATCTGTTTGAAAAAGTACAATTATATTTAACTGCCATATGGGAGAGTGCGGGCTCATGGAAAATAAATGATCTTTGCTATAGCCATATACGACGGCTCCTCCTCCAGTTCAGTGTTGAATTGCAAATTAAGGAAGAACCCATGTTTGTAGCATTTTTTTAATTGGTTGTTGCCGGTGACTGGAAGCAATCTCCATAATATTGCGGCTTGCTGCTGTTGGCATCCACCGTGCTGAAACAAGGACTGGTGTGCACGTTTGAATTGAAAACCGTTATGGTCCTCAACAAAGTTTATTTTTCTTGCTCCTGATCATTTTGAGATGACTATAGAGTGATGTGCATCACCTCCTTAAACCCCATCATAAGCGATGATGCACATCACCCAATTGACAAGTGACCAGGCCGTCAATACACCGTCACGTATCCTCAGGACCGATGTGGAAAATTTGACAGCACCTCCCTAAAACGACAATTTAACTTTGATATGTAAGTACATGCCGTGAATTCAAATAAGCACATAAGCCCATAAAACATTTCGAAACGTGGCATGGCTGTCGCGGATGGTTCCGAATTACGGAACTAACAAGCTCGATATGATATTATGCAGTACGAGAGCCACCTGAGCTTTCTGACGACCACAGGTCTCGGAGAATACGATATTCGATCACTCTACATCGGAGCCGGCGGGGCTATTGCTAACCTCGATTTACTTCGCGTAAAGCAACGTTATCTTCTATTTTCTCGACGGTGATTACGGTCGCACATCACTTACCTTCTGCGGTACTTGAATCATGCACGTATGTATCGTTTCGCTTACAATAGAACGTTTTAAGAGGTTTACCAATGAAAGCAGATCTCGCCCATTTCCAGTCAGACATGATCCGGATGGCAGCAGAGAGGTTCTTATCTCACGTTTAAGAAAAATATATCTCTAGCCGCGCCAAACTATTACAATTGCTAAGGCCTGTCAGCGCACTTGAAGCCTCATCAAGCGCATCGCTAAATTTATTCCCTGGAGAACAAACTACCTAGAACAAACTACCTCAAGACTCTGACGGTAACGAAGGACAGACGATTGCGATGCGGTGCAACGTTAATCTGGCCATGATTGAGTGTGATGTATCCTCTTCCAAGAATACACGAGCCACTACGGCGCTATGGCTACTACGGGACTCAGGCAAAGGAATTTGTTTAAGCGTCTCGAAGCACGCGCAGCTCCTGCGCGTTGGGTGGATTAGAGGTGGCAAAGCAGCTCAATATGGTCGTCACATTATTTCTATGTGGCTACAAGAAATACAATTCGCTTGACACGGTAACTGTTGCCCTTGTATGTTGCGCGCAATGGAAAGGGTGCAGAATATGGATGCTTGACGCAAGGAATCCACCGAAACGGACTTTGCAACTGTGTGTGAGCTTGATCATTCATGATTATTGCAATTACTAAACGAGGGGAGAAACTAAGGAGCGCCCAAGTAGGAAGCAGCCAAGTATAAATAGGACAAACACATCTGCAGACGTCACACAAGTTACCAATCATCGTCTGAGTCAATAAATACCATTCGCCATCAACTAGTAGTCGTGAACATCGATTGATGGAGAAGATCGTTTTTCGAGAAAGTTATTTAAGGAAAGTACTGGGGAATTCTCGATCGATCCGCTTTAGCGCATAGTCTGATTGACTGCTGAAGGGCAAATTGAGCGGGGACTTTTGTCCTAAGAGGGTTGGCGCGGCATGCCGTTCATTCCCCGTCCGACAATTTAAGATAAAGGACGCTACATTAAACCAATGGATATGAAGACTTGCTTACTAACCGGGAACTGCTATGTATATGCATTTACCGCACCACCGTAGCTTAATGGAAAAGCGTCAAAAGAGAGAAGGGGGTCCGAATCCTCCCTGTGTTTTTTTTAATATTTTTTAATTTGTTCTCTAGGTCTGCTACACCACTGAAGCCTCATGGCACTTAGACACCAACGCTTCCCGGCTTGGACGTCACCGTACAGAACACACTGGAGGCGATCCACAGTACGGCGACTGCCGGACTGTCAACCACAGTCGGAGACGCCACCAATTCCTCTAGTCGAACGTGTCACATCTGCTCTCCAATGTTCCCTAAACCCCCTGCGCCTTGTTTCCGACCCGCGCCAGCGATAGCCGCAACGAGACGCATGACGGTAGCCGCGTTGGCTAGGCTCGAACTGTGGGAGTCAATTCGTATCCGTCGGATCAAACGCGCGTTGCGTGCTGTCGGACTTACCCTCCCAGCATGCGACTCCGGCGAGGACCGGTCCTCCAGCGAAGGATTAAACAAAGCGTTACAGGCAACGCTGTCGGAGGTCGTACGACGCACGCGTATGCCTCTTCCCCAGTTCGCCGAGCTCCTTCGCGGCCAGACCAAAGATGACTACCGACCGAACAAAGGCACGATACCGGCCGTACTATCGGCAACCTGTGCCGGATATGAACACCTCCCACAGCTTCTTGCCATCGCAGAGGCAGGAGCGCAAGTACCGCTATTACAGCCACTACCCCCTCAGCAGTGTCGGCCTCGCAACCATGGTTCAGCGGATGAGCGCTACGCTGTGCTCGTGCGCAACATCCGGAAAGAGCAGGATGCCTGACGTTGTATTGTGGCCGACATCGACCTTCTTTCAATTTGGACCGAAGTTCATATTAGCTCATTCGGAGTAGTGGACAAAGGAGACGGCGACAGAGCAACCACCAGTCGCGTCATCTATGATTTATCACACCCTGTTGAGCACTCGATCAACGACTTCACGGACCAGGCGGCGGTGTACCAACCGGATTTCGTTCACTGCGATGCGATTGCCATGGCGATTACACGGCAAGAAGTACAGTTCCCGGGCGCTGATATCGCTGTTCAAGCTGGCGACGTTGCGTCGGCTTTCAAACACGTTTGCATCCACAGCAACTCAGTCCACCTTTTTGGCGGGTGCCTTGACCGCGACACCGCGCTCGTAATCGACATGTCGGCAGCTTTCGGCTGGTCAGGATGCCACGGTAACTACGGTGGGGTCGGTGGGGCTATCGCACACGGCCACGGATATTCTACCAACACACACAGCCCAACGGGTCTCTTCAACTACTGCTGGGTGGACAACCATATTAATGTCGCCGCCGACGTGGGCTCGAACTGCCAGGACGCTGAGCAGTCCCTTCGCTACGCTATGCTGACCGTTTCGGGGCCTCGTGCCATCAATGAAGACAAGTTCACCCGCTGGAGCACACGGCAAAAGGCGCTGGGCCTTATTTTTGACACCTCGCAGGGTCTGATTTCAATGCCAGCAACCAAGATCGCGAAAGCCCAACGTATCGTGACTACGGCACTCCAGGTATCCACGCTAGGTCGCTCGGAGTACCGTTCACTCCTTGGGTGCCTTCGTTATGTGGCTACGTGTGTTCGTCCGGCTCGTTCCTTCCTTCAGCGCCTCCGCCACCTCCATCGGTGGCAAACTGTACCTGTCACGGATTCAATGCGGCAGGATCTGCTGAGGTGGTTACATATTCTGGGCCGCCCTGTATTGAATGGTGTTTCACTGGCTTATTTTGGACGCCATCCCCAACCCGACGTCGTGGTTGAGATGGACGCCTCCGACACTGGGTTGTGTGCTCTCGTTCGCGCGGACAGGACCGTTCTCGTCTACCGGTTTTCAAATGAGAGAGCGGGCGTTGATCTCGAGAACCAAAGACCAATCATCTGTGGGCTTCGACATCAATTATCGGGAATTGTTGTCGGCAACTATGGCAGCGCACATGTGGGGGGCCGCCCGGTCGAGCCGCTACGGCACGCGGGCAGCATCCCGACCAGTACATGGGCACTTCCGCATCGACAAGATGTCGGCAGTGGGTTGGCAGTCCAAAATGGTAGCCACAAACTCACGCGCACAGACCCTTATCCGTCTTCTCGGTATTTGGGAGGTGAAGTGGAATCTTCGTTTCTCGTCGTCTCACATCCCGGGGTCAGACAACACGACTGCGGACGCCGGCTCGCGACGTACTGACGACGTCTCAGCTGCTAACTTATTTTCCAGCCTCACGCGTGACTGGTGTCAGGTTTCTCCCAACGTGACGTCGGCCAATCTCGAGCGGATATGGCTTTCCATCTCCGGGCGCACTCCGTTGCAGAGTCCACCTTCGGCCAGTATGCCAGGGCCCTGAGAAAGTGACTGGTCTGGTGCTCCCGTCGGGGGGGGGGTTCATCCGACACTCGAGCCCATGTCCTTATGCGCATCCATTCAGCATATTACCGATTTCGCACTGCTGGGATTCCGCGAAGGCTATGGATCCGGCCT